CCCCCCCCCCCCCCCCCACCCCCCGATCCCCGTCCTATCGTAGCTTTTTGTCGTGGTAAAATTTCAAGTCCGTTTTGTAAAAATTCTAATAATTATCCGAGCCTTCAGGCGAAGGAGATGATTATGGTTTTGACAAAATACTAATAAGATTGTTTCTTAATTTCTCGAGTATACTGCTTGATTACGTTTTTAAGTGCATAGGAAGTGAAAAATAATTGCCACTTCTCAAAATAAAGAAGAATAGCGTTTTCCTTGGAATATTTTCTTTCGTTCTAGAGGTATTTACGTTTTTGTATTATGAAAATGAGGAAAGTGATGATGTCATAAGCAGTTCCACTTACACAGTGAAACACTGAATGAAGAATATCTCAAGAAATATTCCCTTATTTGGGAAATATAAAAGGGTAAATATCTTTAGAGGGAAACAAGATATTCCAAAAATAGTAATACCATTCGCCTTAATTTTGAAAAGCGTTTCAAATATACAGCAATTATATTTCATTATACGCAATTTAATATAATGGTTGAAAAAACGGTTACAGTTGTGGGGTTTTGATTTGTTCATTCCCGCTAAATGTTGCCGTGTTGATTTTGTAATTTTACATGTGAAATTCTAAATTAGCACTGAGATTTCGGGCCAAAATTAAGGACTAATTTGTCACCCATGATATTACACGCTAATACCCTGCAATCCTGTCTGTTTTCCAAAAGGCAAAGAATTGACAACCAGACCTCCCACGATGACCAAACCCGCCACGATGCAATCGTCGACAAGTCAACACAAAGGACCAACCTCTACAGGTAATAATAATTATAATACATTGAACTCACCATCTCTTTTCTGATTGGCCGATAGCGTACGGTGAATTTTCGAAATTATCGCCTGTGACGTCATCCAGCTGCAGATTATACAATAATCATGTCAAGGACACTCAAGCTCACGGGTAATCATGTCATGTATGACCACGATGCACGATTTATAATAGTAATTGGACCCGGTGGAGTACAATTCAGGAAGTAATCGCGCAAATAATTTCAAAATCGGACGAGCGCGAGGCGCAAGGCCGATTTGAAATTGCAATCGTATCTATAACAAATTTCGGAAATAAAAATGTCCTTTGAGAACTTTTTTTGAGCGAAAACATATGTAGCGCGTTTCATAAGTTTTGAAAACTGTAGGAAACATCGCANGCAGCTAAGTCGCAAGAAAGTAGCAAGTCGCAAGAAAGTCGCAGTTAAGTCGCAAGAAAGTAGCAGAAAAGTCGCAGCTAAGTCGCAAGAAAGTAGCAAGTCGCAAGAACGTCGCAGCTAAGTCGCAAGAAAGTAGCAGCTAAGTCGCAAGTGAAAAAAAGAGAGAGAAAAGTGTATGTCCCTTTAAAGCCACCGTATAAATCAAATAGATTCCTTATACTCTTTACTTTACTTTGAATTCACGTGGGGGTTCTCCTTGACATGGGCTTTACAGGTATGTAAGACCCCAAAGAGAAGGGTTTATATATTATATTTTTGGTCATAATTAGGGTATCAATTTTGGCCATTTTTGTCATAAATAGAGTATGGTTTTTTCCCTCTTGAACTGGGTATGTTTTTTGGAAGAAGCTACTTTTTGAGGACATAAATAGGGAAGGGAAAATCGCAGAATTTGGTCATCAATAGGGTAAGGGTTTTGGGAAGCGGGCCACACACCCCCCACCGATTTTCCTGTTAGTATCCCCCGGCACCTCACCCCGCTCTCTTCAGTTACCGTCACACCTTTAGGCTTCAATTACTTCGAATCCAGGAGAATTCGGGTATTCGGGAGACCGAGCGCAAGGAAGGAGGGAAGAAAACGTTTACTAAAAAAATGGGATCACTGATTGTAAACAAATGGTTGTAAAATGGTTTCGTTACTGTTATTTCTACAGGCTTGTGGCTAAATGGTAATCTTTGAAATAAGGATGTAAAATACATCATTGCAGATGTAATCACTACATGAGAACTCTGTTTAACCTTGGACCGGTAAACTTATACCCTTCACTACTGACTCGCGAAATAGCAACCCCTAATCGGAATGGTTACTAGTACAACATGATATGAACTACGGCAGAGGGACACCACATATAAGCAGTCAGTGAATTAAGTAAGTAAAGTTCAACTGTACTGAAATTTTCTTCAATAGATAACTGCCTGCGTCATAATCTGATACAAACACCCGAAACTTCGCCAAAGACTATCGCTTCCTCTACACAAAGGACAGCTTCACCTACGCAAGGTAATGTTCAACGTTTTATAAGTTTGACATTTGCTTTCCTATTTCGTGCCTGTAGAGCTACCATGCACATGGAGTAAGTGGCAGAGCCTTGATCATTGTCATCGATTTTATATATTTTTCTTTGTTGAAGATAGCACTTTGCACAAACATATCTAAGGTATATGTCTTCTTTAACCAATTACTTTCGATCAGTTCACGCTCAAGGCTAAATGTACGGAGTGGTTTTCGCTTAACCATTATCACCCCTGCATGGAGTCTTGATTAAAACTTTTTTATATTATTTATCATCTTTACCATTATATTTTCTTTCATTTTAGTTTTGATTTCTTTCTCCTATTGTACTATCTTGTATTATTTCTTCTTTTTCTTTGTTTACTTAACAATTATTCTGCGAGCGAGCGATGGATTTAAAATGTCAGATGGGTAACGAGGCGCGTAGCGCCGAGTTGGCTTTAATAATCTCGTATTCAACAAGCGCGAGTGGAATAATTATTTTATTAAAAACGCCCCCAAAATATAGTTAGACTAAAATAAAAATAAAAATGCCTCAAAAAATCACGCGCACGCTTACCATGTTTGTGGAGCATGGTATAACCAATGATGGCTATTTAGCCAATGAAAACTCTCGAATTGCATTATCCAATGATCAGGTTTTCTAATAAAATCGTATACACCCTGCGAAGCCGCTGATAAAGGTGAATGTGCAAAACTCAAGGGTGGAAATTAAGGGAACGCTCTAATCACATATTGGAAGTGAGGGAACTGGGTTACTTTACTTTGTTACGATTGTCCCTTTTAGTAAAACTATTTTCTAACGGCTCATTTTGTCTTCACCAGATGTAAGAAATGCAACCGATGCAAGGTAGGTCACCCGGAGTGCTTAATAGTTCGTGTATAATTGCAATTGTAATAAATAGAAAAAAGGTCCCGTTAGTTTTATGTTGCGTTGTCGCTAGAATACTAGCCTGCGTCACAGCCGCCCTAGCTATTATAACTAGAGCATGTGCATCCCAAATAATGTCTGGAAAAGTGTGAATTGGTATTACTAAACCACTACAAAATACCTCCAGGTTGGGGGGTGGTGGTGAGGCTAGTCACATGTTATGGTTATTGGCAGGGTCAACGCCCTTTGCTTTCAGAGTTTACTTTCTTTAAAATAATCTAAGCACTTCTCATTTCTGTTAAATGATTGAATCAGTCTAGTTTCCAAAGTGTAAACGACATGCAAATTACAAGGAAACTTCAGTCCATAATGAGAAAAGGGATATTTTGGGTTGCTTCCTAAGCCGTAGTTGTTGTTGTTGTTGTTTTTTTTTTCTTTTTTTTTTTTCAGTTTTTTTTTGTGGTACTGGTTTTGCCTTAGGACTACTTTGGAGACAGTTTTCCCTTATTGGTAACTTTCTGCTATTATTACGCGTGTGTGCCACCCCCAGCCTAAGAGCAGTCTGCGTTCTGTGCACGTGTTTTCTCGTATGTTTTTTTTTTTTTAATTTTTTTTTTTTACTGTACTGTACTGTGCTGCTTTCGCTCATCTCTTTGCTAACAGGGACCAACTTGATAATCAAGAAAGGTCGTCGTTGAGCCCAGAAAATGTGGCGAGAGGGCTTGGGTTCTCTGAGGAAGCAGAACCCTGTGATATGAAACGCGAAAATCAGTGGCGGAAAACAAATCAGTCTTCGAGTCAAGAGTGTGGATATGCCATGTTGACTCCTCGTGCAATGATGGTAATTTCAATTAAAGTTTTGATATATGCAAAAGCATAGACGTCTGAATATTAAAACCTCGTTGTCGACGTTACCACCGCTGCTGTCCTTGTCCTTGACTTCTTGGTATTTCAGTTTCAATTGTTATTTCTTGTGTTTTGCACAGCTGCCAGGGGATAGTTCCTATGCATCGCTGGTGAAATCAAAACAAGAAGACTGTATCAGTGAATCTCCTGTCGCCGCTTCTCCTTTGCTGCAACACGATGACGAACGTCATGATCAGCTGCCCACATACGTCAATGCGCGTTCTGCAAACTACGCGAATGTATAACTGGATGGATGAAGAGGGAACGTGATGACATAAGTAGTCCATACTTGCCCTGGGTTCCGCTCGAATTCGAGATATTGATTAAGAGATATTAGCTTAAATAATGGCCAGTTGATGCCAATGCCTTCAGTCATACATGAAGTTAATTTCATCTGTTCTCAAGGAAACTAGACAAACAATTGATTGACTTAGTGTTAATGGCGCCGATGTTGAGAAATTTCGAAATTTAAACATTTTCAGAAACACTTCCACCTAAAGCTGCTGTCAAAAGCGATGCTATGAATGATTACTTCAGTGTTTAATTATATCTTAGCAGATAAACAGTTAGTTGAATAACAAGGATATGTTACAATTTTTATCACATGGAAGAATGGTTTTAGAAGTTTATGTTGCAACATTGCCGAATGTTGAAGAATGATCATAGTATATAGTAGGAATTACAACGTCTCCATGCAGGTGTTCTTCCCTTGACATATTTTATTCATGAAGCCATTCATAGACAACTTGTTTACTAAGTGATAGATCCTGCAAACAGGATAGCTTTTGTTTGGTTATAGCGACTTCATAGTCTTGTTGCTATTCCTTAAACTCCAGCTTGTTACATGTTTTTATAGAGAGGAATCACAAGGCTTTTTTAAGCCAACTCGTGCTACACTTTGTTTTCTATGACAATATTCGTTATAAGAATATTGAGGTTGAAATTTGGGAAGTTTGTAGAATATTTTAAGAATAAACCCGAGGGTGAGGTTTTGAGAAGAATATAATTTTGTGTGTCGAAAAATTATAAATACAGTACAATTATTTGCATTTAACTAAACCTCATAAAAGTTCCTCCTTCCATAAACGGCAAAGCTAGCCAAAACACGAAAACAAAAACAGTACTAGCCGTATGTTCGATGCTAATAGAATTTCTCCAAGACGTTATGTGTGTCATATTAGGCTTTATTTCTTGCAGTCTGGCTCCAAATTAATTCAACGCCCTCCGTTATGATATAAGACAGATAATCGGACGCTGTGTCGGCATAGTCCACTTTGTATTCCTATAATCTACATGTAAGAATATTCACAAGAATATTTTTAG